TCCATGTTATTTAACCTGTTGTTGAATTTGTTGTCCATGTTATTTAACCTGTTGTTGAATTTGTTGTCCATGTTATTTAACCTGTTGTTGAATTTGTTGTCCATGTTATTTAACCTGTTGTTGAATTTGTTGTCCATGTTATTTAACCTGTTGTTGAATTTGTTGTCCATGTTATTCAACCTGTTGTCTATTTGATCCAATCTCTTTTTTATTTCTTTAACGTCCTTCTTAATTTCCGGTATTTCGGAACTGTGTAAGCGTAGTGTTTCCAGCTCCGCACAGTCCAACAAATCGTAATTGTATGGATCTTTTAACTTGCAATGCATACTTTTGTATTTTTCCTCCATATTTTTAGCCGTTTCGAGCTTGAGATATATATGGAGGTGCCCATGACAATCCACCGCGTTTTTATCCTTGGCTAGTTCCGACTCCCACTTTCCGAAATTCATTGCAAATCCATCTATTGGATACGAGGCATCTTCATGCAAAACACCATTCACCAATTTTGCTAGTATTCACCACCAAAAGTCGTACGACTTGACTAATTGCTTGTTAGTTTTATGTTCGCGTGGGAAGACGAGTAGTTCTCGCGTATGTTCCGGTCTTGATGTCACAACATAATCTTCTGAAGACTCGACTATTCGTTCGCCTTCCACGTACCAATTACAGATGCGGTCGACTCGATGTTGTTGTTGTAATCGGTGCGTGCAAAAAATGTTCGGAGCGGTGATATGACTGGGACATCTCACTGCACCTGCAACAGAATTTCTGTGAGTCTCTACATTTAATAATTATATACTATTAATAAAGACAATTCACTCACTTGTCTCACATTCTCCATGATAAGTACAATAGAGTTTTGACGGAACAGCCTCATAGTCAGACAGTGGTGGTAATGAATATTGGCATTTTTCTCTCATTTTATCGACATATTCACGTGCTTTTTGCACCGCTTCTTCTCAGGTTTTGTGTTAGGGCATCAAACCATGCCACTGGATCTACGTGTAGGTATACGTCGTCGTTTTCTGAAGACAGCACGATTCTGTATTTTTCCTTGAATTCCCGGTGACTTGTAATAATATCCAAGCCAGTTCAGCTATCTTTAATGCTGCTTTTTCTAGTTCATTATAATCTCGTGTTTGAAGTTTTACCGAACCGACTTTAATCCTTGGAGTATCCAACTTATCATTACCCACTTCAAGTTGACGCCCAGCTTCATCTACGTTTCGGAGTACTTCAAATCTTGACATTTTTTATGTTTATATGTATATATAGAGATATACGGATAATAGCAGTAGAAAAATGAGGAAAAAGTCAAGTATCGCGCGGAGAACTTTTATCCACAACAAAAAAAAAAGTTAAGCCACACGCCATAATATATTACATATAACGTAATTTACACATGACTCATGGTGAAACCCCACAATTCTGCGTCATGCATCTGCATGAACCTTGTTATTGTCGGAGAAAAATACTTTGTTGCATGACCTAATTGGCAAACTCTTAAGCCGAAATTGCATTGAGTCGAATTTTCCCACGATTTTTACTATAGCGTAAGCTGAAATCTATTAACAATTTACATCAATGTGAATTGATTGGTTCGTTTCTTGAATCATATGATTGTATTTACACGTACGTTTCATATGTTGTATATTAATATGGGGACTGGACTGGTTCATGAAATGTGATTTGGCATAAGCATTTTTCTCAGCAATCTTCTCTACGTATCTTGGTAGTTTTTATTTCAAGTATGTTAGTAAAATATTCACTACAGCAACTTTGCTATCATCGTAGACAGTTACAGTAATTTGGAGGGGTCTATCTTGAGAGGGCTAAAAAAAAGTCCCCGAATCTTTGTGATCAAATTTCCCAGTCCCTCTATTACAGCTACATATTTAGTGCGTTCTCATCGGTACCTCCCCTGCCATATTTAGTAGTAGGTAGTTTGCCAAATCTGTCAATAGTTTGAGAGAGGTAATTTACCTCCCCGAGTGCTAAGCTATCTCCCCTACCAAATTTAGTAACGAAACGTTACCAAATCTGGTACCGATTAGAGCACCCTATATCATGATAGGCTTGCGTCTTATGCCTGGCCCATTTGAGCTAGTCAATAATGATACTTCCC